CAAAATATAAAAAAAAAATACCTTAAATTAAACTCAACAAGTTCAAAAGAGGCATTTTTTCTTTGCCTATCTGTAAATTTCAATTATTATTGATTGATAGAAATTTTATTTTGTCAGTTTCTGTGTGTATGGTGAAGTCAGCATAATTAATACACTGTGCAATAATGTTACATTATAATAATTATGCCTTTTTAGTAAACTGTATATTATCATTGCTTACTGCATCTAATCCTGTGTTTTACTAACTACAGTAGACTGTTTAGAAAAATTGCCAGCTGACATTTTCTTGTGTTTTTTTTTATTAAATACCAAAGACCTAGAGATATGAAGCCTGACATGGAAACGCTATCAAATGAGAATGGTAGTATTTTTCACCCACTTTGCTGAGGTGTAATTGACTACCCAAGGTGTGAGCTGTGGGGAGTCAGGACCATTAAAAGTATCTCTGCCACAGTATATTTTTTAATGTGATTATTTTAATACAAGTATAATTCTTTTGGCTTCTTAAAATGCAAACGGTAAAATAAATCAAAAATAGGCTAACAATGTGAAACGGTCTAATTTACATCATCTACTGCAAGGAAATTTGAAAGTTAAAGCAAAAAATCTGGGATTATATTGAACTGAATTCAGCGCATTATTTAATTTTTTTTAAGAGTACAATAGAATAACAAGAGAAATACCATGATTTGGGCAATTTACTACAAGTTTCCTTGAGTTTTTAATATTGGTGCAACTTAATAACCTCATTTTATACTGGTTCAGGCAGATCAGAAAAGGCTTGTGGGTTTAAGCCAGATCTTCTGCATCACATGAGCTTTACACAAGCATTTCTTTAGGTAGCTTTCAAATTTTTTATTTTTTTTTATATAGAGAAAAAGGTATAAATAGCTATACGTTGTAAGAAAGTTAAAATGATTATAACATTAAATGTAAATCTGAAATCTTGCTAAAATACCTTGTGTTTTAAAAGTAGCAGCGCCTTTTAAGTTTACATATCCGGGTTTTTTGTAGCTGCTACCATATGTGTGATAATATAAGGTGCATGAAAATTACCTTATATAATTTTTTTTGTTAATGCAAAATAAACAGCTATTACAGAGTAATCTCTTAATTTTCAGAAGTCTCTGGTAGCTTCTGAAGATGCTCAACACTTTGAAAATCAAACCATGAGATACAATATTTCAATAACTGCTAGAGCAGGCTAAGGGCAAAATTCCCAATCAGATCTACCCGCTGGATCTCAATCCCAATATTCTCCTTATCCTACATAAATGGACAATCCATTGACATCATCAGGCTTCCATCAGTGGGAGATCGAAGCATATATGGACAGATAAAGGGTAGACTCAGAATTGTATGGATTTATGTTAAGAATTCTGCCCTTAATCTGTTGAACTTTATATACTGAGAAACAAAAACAACAACAAAATAAACTACATTGTCTAAAAATAAAAGAAAATAAAAGCATTGTTTGGAAAATTGCTTTTAAAATGCTCATCTATATTCTAAATTTATTAAAAACAATTTTTCAGTTCATGATTTTAAAAATGCTTTCTGAAATCTTGTTTAGGTTTTTTTCTAGGTGATCACTCGCCAGGAAAGCAAAACCCCATGTTTATCTTCATATTACAGTCTTTGCAATTAAACATAGTTTGTGAATCATCTGATTAAAAAATAATGCATGCTTATACTGTGCTAAGTCCACATGGTATTATAGCTTGCCCAACAGTGCATGCAGTATTTGCAGGTTTTGACGGTCATTCTGTTTGTGTGACATTGAGAACGGTGATCAGATTCAGATTCACAATCAGTGTATGAAGTGCAGCTCTACTGATTTCATTAGAGTTGTTCCGATTTATCCCAACAGTGTATTTGATCCAACATTTGCACTTTTCTTTTGTTCTGAAGTAGTACGTTGTTGCAGTGGAAGTTGCTTGTTTAACAGGATCTGACTGCAGTTTTGCTAGATTTCCAGTAGATGCCCCCAGAGACCATTCAACCTATTGAAAAATTGTTTTTACAGTTAGAATCAAAGTTCATTTTTTTTTCTACTTGACTCTCAGTGAGTCTTGAAGTGTCCTAAATGTTGACAGGAAGCCTCAAACCAGAATGGATAGAATGTAGACAAATAAGTTTTATAGTTAAATAATAACATCTTACTATGCAGTAAGATTCACTAGGGTCAACATAAATTTATTGGAAAAAAAAAGCAGAATCATCAGGTAAAAGTTCACAAGTAGTTTTAAAAAATCACTGAACTATGTGTTGGATATTTTATGCAATTGATAACGAATTGTCAATTATTGAAAACATGATCAATTTGATTTAGTATCTCTGTTTATTCCTGTGCACTACATAATGTTATAATGAAATATATGCTGGAATATAAACAATAATGTTGGTAGGGATCATTAATTCATCTTAAAATGTAATCAGAAGATTACCTCCCTTGTCTCCACTACATCCATGTTAAAAAGTAACATGCTTTACTACAATGTTTGGGGGAAAGAACACTGGCATTTTCAACAGGAATCATGTTGATAATTGAAACAATTTCAGTATAATTGTCAGATGATCCCTTAGATTACATTAGTAAAATTTATCCCAACAATGTGAATTTAAGATCATTATAACTCATGCATGATCCGTTTATAAATGCTTTACAGTAATTTAAAGGGGCAAAAATATTATGCTGCTCCATACAGTACTTTCTATCCTTTAAGTGTAACTTTTTGTCATATAAACTAGTGTTATTTTTTATTATACTGTAGTTGAAATGTTATTACTGTAGGTAGGCTTGTTATTGGTACAATATACAGTTATACAATTATCTTCCCCTGAGAAGAACTATATATTAAGTACAGTGAGGTCACTCCAGCTGTAATTTAGTTTCTTTTTCTTTTAGTTAATTGGCATAGCCTTTTGATAGAAAATTGGTGACGCAAATTGTAGTTACACCACTGACTTCATCCTCCATGTAAATGTATTAGTTTGCAAATGATACTGCTCATTTGAGAAAATGTGCTTTGACCTTAAGTAAAATGTATTTGTCTAATGAGATTAGCATACTTGGTTGGGGCAATTTTATGCTACTCTATAAATACTGGTATCATGTTCAAATAATTATGATGGAACCTACAATTGAACTGAATAATGTTTTGACTAGTTACAAATATATTTTATATATTTTCTAAAATGATGGCTAGTTATTTTATCTCTACTTCCAAAATGACTTTTAACATTCACTTCTCTTTCCCTCCCCCCACTGCTTTCACTACGCTCAATTATACTAATTTAGAGTTCGCTGTTATTCCCACTGAAGTCAGTGGGATTTCCTCCCACCCCCCAATTACTCTCCACAACCACAGGTGAATTACAGTGGGGGTCCTGGGCCAGGGCCACGCACTGCCACCCGCCCCCCAGCACCAGCCAGGGTCACGGACCGTGTGCCATCTACCCCAGCACCCGCAGCACCCCCTGGGCCACCCCACCCCCAAAGGAACCCAAGATTTAGTCAGGGGTATATAGTACAAGTCATGCATAGGTCATGGGCCGTGAATTTTTGTTTACTGCCCGTGATGTGTCCGTGACTTTTACTAAAAATATCCATGACTAAAACGTAGCCATAATCATGAGTTTTGGAAGAAGGCTATAAAAGTTGCCAATCCTGAATAGGGAAATGACTAGAAAGAAGAGTTGTTCCTAGGCTAGAATTATTCTTATTCTGATTTGTTAAATGTACACTAAACATCAGTTTTCAGAATTCCTCATTTTCTTTTATATGCTCTGAAAATTTGGCAGTAAAAAATATAATCTTTTAATGGGAAAAATTGTTTGGGAATATCATTGGCATAATACAAAATCTGGAGGTTTGTCATTTTAGGGTATGTCTCCACTACAGGATTAATCCGAATTTAGATAATTCGAATTTGGGAAACAGGTGGTGTGCGGCCACACTAACCCTAATTCGAATTAACAAAATCGATTTAGGCTCTACTCCGTTCGTCGAGGTGGAGTACAGAAATCGATTTAAAGGGCCCTTTAATTCGAATTAACTGGCTCTGTAGTGTGGACGGGTGAAGGGTTAATTCGGATTAACGCTGCTAAATCCGAATTAATCCCGTAGTGTAGACCAGGCCTTAGTGGGATAGAGAGGGAATTTTTACCCAACACTAGGGGCCCAGTCCTGCAAACCATTATTTCTGAGTTTAATCCTTAGTGATACAAGCAATCCCATTGGCTTCAAAGGTTTTTAGTATTGGGCTCTAGATTGTTTCATGCCACTTGAAAGAAGTATTTGGATTATGTCCATAAATAATGTCTCAAAAGATGTATTACCTCTTGAAAATATTTAATTATGCATCTCTTTTTTAATATGTATATCTTACCCATGTTTATCAGTGGAATAACTTTGATATAAATTCTTCATTGTATCTCTGTGGACATGTCATTTGCTTTTAAAATTAGGCAAAAACTATGAAATTTCTGTATCACTAAACTAGTCCCAGATGATTCTGTTTCTAACAAACACCAATCCACCATTACCTCCAGCAAAACTATTTAACATGTACATTGTTTTGACATGTAGTATGTGCTTATTTTTTTCCTGATCACTCTTTTTAAGCTAACTAAGAACTTACGGTGTTTCAGTGAACTAATGTCAGCACCTCCTTTTTTTTCTATGTAGATTAACTCATTTGACTGTCCTGACTGATTTCAGTTGAAGAACACTAGTATATTTATAATGCAGTTCCAATAAAAGTACTTATAGATTACCACTATTGCTATATTCTGTTCTATAGTATAGGATCTAGTTAAAAACCATTTTGTAAAAAACCCTACAATTATAAGTGGTTCAAATATCACTTCTCCTTTGTTGGCTTCTGAAGTCTACATTTGAAAACCATTGTAGTATCTTTTAATTATGTGTGTGTGGGAGGATTGTAGAGAACATAATACAGATTTAAAGGACTAAAATCAGTATTTCTTATTCCCAGTTACAGGAATTCATACAAGAAGAACATCTGCATAGACATGCTGCGACAGGGTTATCACAAGTCCTTCTCTGAGCTCTTCACTCTGATACAGAAGTGGAATGCCTTGAGGGAGGCTGCAGGGCCTGGGTCAGCCATATGGCAGCAGAAGTCCCTGGAGGAGCAGCCTGATAAGCTGGATCAGCTTCACCATTTCCTGACCAGGGCTGAGGCAGCCCAACGAGCAGGTAAATGGGGGAACTGTGGGTAACAGAACAGCAGGAGCTGCAGCAGTGAGTGCCTGAGGGAAGATTCTAAATTGTTTCATGTATGAATTTGAAACATTACTGCATCTTAGCACATTTCAGCCTTAGTCATCTAAGCTGTATTTATAGACTAAATGATAGGTAACTCTGAATTTCGACACCACGGATACAGTGAGAGGTTCTGTGAAATAAACTGGGAAAGAGCATCTAGAGTGTATTATGTCACTAGAAATCTTGAGATATATTTACAGCCTTGATAACATCTCAGTTATAACCCAGTTCATAGTTTCTTTATTTTTTTGTTTTATCTATTGATTTTAACAGCTATTTTTGTACTTTACTAGAGAAATATAACTTTTAAAACATTCTTTTACACTATCAATATTTTATAAATCTGATATTTTAAAACATAGATGCTGCTCAATATGGTTGAATTTGTAACTGAAAAATTAAAAATGGATTGCAAATATGTCAAGTACAACATGATACACTGATGTGACACGTTATTTGTGAATTAAAAGGTGTTTGTGAAGCCATAACTCTGAATACTGTATATTTTTGCTGATGCCTAAAAATAAATTTACTAAGCTATTCTATTTATAATATTCTTTTACTGTAAATACTAGATCATGCAATAAGTTTTTTTTTCTTATGTTTCAGAATAATAATAGGAGTTGAGGTAGATGAATTTCTACAGGAACCCTGTTATATAAGATTTCCATTACACTCCACTAATTTCAGTTTATATTTTTGATCATTTAGGGTAGGAAAACTTAAAACAAGGTTTCTAAGGTTTTGACAAGGAACATTCTTCATCTCAACCTTTTAGACAGGGCAAACTTTTATTTATTTATTTATTTATTTTAAGGAGCAACAGAAGCCTTCTCATTATACTCCTAAGGGGGAAGTGTCACTTCTACTACCATCACTCTGCATCATCATCTGAGTAGGAGGTTTGACATTCTAGTCAAGAGCTGTAGACTATCCTTCTCTCTTTTTTGGATGCTGCCTTTTCCATTTTTCTCTGGCATGGTTTTAGGATTACTTCATATTGATGGATATTAGAAATTACCAAAGCCTGCTCTATTTGATTCTAATCCTTTCCCCGAACTTTGACCTTCAGAGAGCTTATTTTCATATAGCGATTCATCTAGTCTACAGAAAATCCCTCTCTGTTTTATAGTGGGACATGACCACTGTCAATACAGGATTCTACTTTCTGACCTGTCTGCAGCCCTGAGAGTATTCCCAAAATGCTTGTCAGTGGTAGCAGCCTATCTGAGACAGGAGGGAATACACGTGTACCCATATATGGACAAGTGGCTTCTGAGAGGGAAATCCCACAGGAAGTATCCAGTGTCTTATCCACAGTCCTCAACCTGTTCCACTCCTTAAGATTGAGAATGAATTTCAAGCCATCTCTCACTCCTTCTCAGGCCATCGAATAAAGGTGTTTTTCTGGATTCCAAGTTGGTAAAGGCATTCCTCTCTCTAGAAACGATTTCAGACTATCACATAAGAGAAGGCAGAATCCTGCAACAGTAATAATCTGGCTCAAACTATTATATCACATGGTATCATGCACTTATGTGATACCTCTTGCCAAATGTCACCTTTCCAAATCTGGCTGAGATCTGTTTACCAACCCAGACATCATATAGACACTCACCTCTCAGACTCAGCTTCTGTATTATCTTCCCTGGATAGATGGACAAGCCCAAAGAGCTGCAAAGGTGTCCAATTTGTACCCCATCTCTCATGATGACACTGATTACAGATGTCTCCACAGCAGGTTGGAGGCCCAATCTAAAGCACCTACAAATTCAAGGCATTTGGTTCTGGAAAAGGTTGTTGCTCCATGTCAGTGTGCTGGAACTCCAGACAATTTGACTGGCCTGCAGAGGCTTCCTATTGATCCTGAAAAGAATCAAAGTGCAGATCCTGGCAGACAACAGCACTGAAACATATTCTATCAAGAGGCAGTGGGTGCCTGTCAAGAAGCAACCGAAAATGGTGCCATCTTGATGGGATAACTCCCATAGCCCTTCATCTACCAGGAACAAACAACTATCTTGTGGATTACCTCAGCAGACGCGTACTCTGCCAACCACGAGTGGTTGCTGAAGTATTCTATTCTCAAGCCTGTATTCCACAGATGAGGCTCCCTTGTGACAGGCCTGTTTGCCACCAGCGAGAACAAATGCACCCTTTTCTGCTCCAGAACAGTGCCAGTCCAGGGTCCCTCTAGGATGCTTTTCTCATCCTTTGGTCTCAAGACAGCCTCTCGTCAACTGAACTCCCTACCACCATTGTAGAATGGATCAAAGAGCTCACTAGGAGTTGGGGCCCATTTATTTGTGTTGTTTTAGCCATTTCTTCATCCACCCACTGGCTATGTTGTCAGTGGCGCATTTATCTCCTCAATTTAGCTAGCACCCAACCTCAAGAAGGAGAACAGCTGTCCTCTCCCTGGGTTGGTAGTCTGACACCTTAATAGCATGGTTGAACCTACTGAAGAATACACTCCGCTATACTCGCTGTCAGACAAGCCAGGGTCACTGCTGCGCCACTTTCAGGTGTTGAGGTAGGATTGTGCAGCAGAGAAGAAAGCGCTACAGATGGAAAATCAGAGACAGTGGCCAAAAATATTCGACGAGGCAATCTTGAAAGCAAATATTTCCAAGGAAGACTGGAGTCTTATAGATAACGGTAATGAGGATTATAAAAACTTCACTGATAAGTTGAGGCAATGCGTGAAATTAGCTGAGAAAGAAAGACCGAAAAGAGTGAAGGGAAGAATCTTGAAAGAAATGCGGAACTTGCTAGAGAAGTGGAGGAATATGAAGTGAAATGATGGTGACAAACTTGAGTACTCCCTCCTCTGCAAATTGATAAGAAGAAGACTACAGGAGGACTTTGAGAAGTACCGAAATGAAAGGCTCTTAAAGACGGCTGAAGATCGCAGAATCCTCAAAAAATGCAAAAGGAAATTGACACTGTACAGGTCAACATTAATGGTGCTGAAGAACAGGGACAGAAAACCAGTAATTGACAGAATAGGGATGGAAGCGGTCTGCAAAGATTTCTACACCAAACTGTTCGCATCTCAGATAAATGTCCCAGTACCAACACTTCAACAGACCAACAAGCATGTACTTCCAGCCCTCGTCAGCCAAGTTCAACATGCAGTTCACCAAATGAAGGAAGGAAAAGCCCCAGGTAAAGATGGACTGACAATCAAAATGATAAGAGCTGGAGGCCAAGACCTCTGGGAAACCCTTACCTGGAAATGCAGAAGATACCATCTAGCTGGAAGGAGTCCAACACCATTCTGCTGTACAAGAAGGGTGATCGTCCAGTATGCCTGCTCTCACATGTCTACAAGCTGTTCAACAAAATAGTAACAAACCGATTCTCAGAGTCTGGACAAGAAGCAGCCGAGAGAGCAGGCAGGTTTTCGAAGGAATATGCACAATGGACCATATTTTCACTATAAACCAGCTATTGGAACGCTCAAGGGAATACAAATTCCCTCTATGTATTGCCTTCGTCAACTATGAAAAAGCGTTCAACAGCGTAGAGATCAATGCAGTGTTGAAAGCTCTTGCAGAGCAGGGCATTGACACAAACTATATCAAACTATTAAAGGAAGCAAATTCTGACTGCGCTACAGATATAACTTTATTTGATACTCCCCTTCGCATCCCAGTTAAGAAAGCTGTGAAACAAGGAGACAAGGTTTCACCGAAACTCTTCATAGCCTGCCTCGAAATGGTAATGAGGCAGATGAATTGGAAGGGTGGAATCAGCATCAACGGAGAGCAGTTAAACCATCTCAGATTCATGGATGATAGTGTGTTGATCACCGAAAATATTATCAAACTACAGAAAATGGTGCGAGAACTCAACACAAAAAGCAGCCACGTCATATTGAAAATTTACTGCTCCAAACCGAAATTAATGCAGTCTGATACCTTGCCAAAAGCCCAAATAACAATCAAGGGAGAAAATAGAAGAAGTTGAGCAATATGTCTATTTGGGCCAAGAAATTAACATGCGCCACGATCAGGATGGTGAACTCTTGCAAAGAAAGAAAGCAGGTTGGTGCACATTCAGTTCTATCAAGGATGTCCTCCAAGGAAAAATCAACAAGGCAACATGCGCCAGCCTCTTCAACTCAACAGTACTGCCAGCAATGTTGTACGGCAGCGAAACATGGGCACTGACAAAGACAGAGGAGCAGCAACTGTCGGTCACGGAGAAGGTGATGGAAAGAAAAACTCTGGGAATTTCCATCTGCGACCGAGTCCCCAATGAAGTGATCAGACAGCAGAGTGGCGTGCAGGATGTCATTGTTGAGAGCAGGCATAATAAAATGCAATGGGCCAGGCATATAGCGAGGCTCACTGATAATCGATGGACTGCAGCTGTCACCAAGTGGTACCCATGGCAACTGAAATGACCACTCAGCCGACCTCCAAAAAGATGGGAAGATTTTATCGTGAAAAGACATGGTCACACATGGAGAAGGAAGGCCAGGGTACAAGAAGAGTGGAAGATGTGTTGTGATTGGCGCAATCTAATGAGGGCTGAAGGACTGATCTATCAAAGTGGTGATCAAGGTGGTCTCAAGATCTTCTCAGTGCTTTTTCTCCCATCCTCCTGATACCTAAAGTCATAAGAAAAACCAAGGAAGATGTGGCTACAGTGATACTTATAGCCCTTTGCTGAGCCAGACAGCATTAGTGCACAGCCTTACTGCATCTGTCCATACAGCTACTGATCTTTCGCTCCAGTTTGCCAGAATTGAGGACAAATTCTTCACCTAGATCCCATCGCTGTTTTGACCTGACTACTTGGAAGTTGTCTAGCTGAGCACATCACACAAGAAAGCTCCACAGAAGCTTAAGATGAGATTTTTCTTCTTGGCTTCATAACAAAGTCTTAACTAGAGCTTGGTGGGAACTGGATTTTTCATTTTA